AACTTTAATTATATGTGCGGTACATAGCTTATCTCCATGACCACTCTGTACTTAAAACTCTCTCTCTGCTTTCTTTCCCAATATAGTTGACACTAGTTGTGGCTAAACAGGGCATCGTGGTTGTGTAGAAGTTAGTCAGCAAGCACCAACTTCTCCTGTGTATTTTCTGGTGCTATCCTCTTAGACCTTCAGGAAAGCAGACAGGGAACTCTTTCTTTCTGTCGAAGTTCGATGTTTAATGTCCATTTCTGTGTTCTCGGCCTCTGCTACCTTCCTCTGCAAGACAAAATGGTATTCCCTCCTGTCCATTACTATTTTCTTGGCAAATCTACATGCTTCTAATGCTGCTTTGTTAAATCACAGGTTCTTCCTCACTGCATTCATAGACCCCCAGGGTCAGATACTGGCTCCTGCTCTGGCAGTATGAGTAGCTTGCAGAATTGTCCTAAACAGGTACCCAAGGATCGTCTCAGCCTTATACCACTCCCCCTTTTGCTTACCCTCCCTGATGGGTGGCGTAGTTTGGGATTGTGTTACAGCATAAGTGGCATTGGTAAGAATAGCATTATCTTCTTCCTGTTACCAGTTGCAAGTACAAGTCCAAGAATGCCATGTTTAAGCGCTGCTAATTTTAAGAGCTAAATGCTAGATAGGTTAAGGGATTTAGACATGTAGAAAATAGCAACTTTAACACCTAACCTTAGAGAATGTTGAGCTGCAAGTGTGGAATTCAGACTCTGAGTTAGTTACCAGGTCTCCATCTAAAATACACAGAGGTTCCCAAGAAAGCTGTCCGTGGCAAGGTGTGCTGTTGTATCAACTAGTGAAAGGGAAAAAGTTCTGGTAAGAAATTTTCTCATTATTAGGGATTAATTTCCTGAAAGCCTTTTCTCAAAGATTATGAACTTCTGAACAGAATCTCAAAATCACAGAACAGTTGAGGTTGAAAGTGACCTCAGGCGGTCATTTCATCCACTTCCCTTGCTCAAATAGAGTGACCCTTGAGCTAGGGATGGAGACTCCACAACCTCTCTGGGCAGTCTGTTCTATTGCTCAGTCACCCTTATAGTAAAAGTTTATTTTCATATATTCAGATGAAACCTCTGATGTTTTGGTTTGTGCCCATTGCCTCTTGAATAGTTGGGTTAGATGGTATTGCTCTTTCATACAAGGCTTTACAACTTAAAATACAAGAAGACCTTCAATTCCTTCAGCTGGAAGGAACGTGATAATAATAATAATAATTCAAGGTTTTGATGTCTGAATAAGAGCTGAGGAAGAGCATGCATGACTCTAGACCTATTGTTAGAAATCTCACACTGAAAAGATGTGTCTCAATATCTACTTTATGGACCACATAATCTAAATACACAGAGGTGTGGGAAAAATATTTAGAAATTCATCCCCATGTTGAAGAAGTAGTTTAACCTGGGTCTTCTGCTGCTTCAGTAAGTGCTCTTGGAGTACCTGCTGGAATTCATTGCTATTTCTTGCATGGCACTGGCTTTTTTTGCAGTAACAAAAAGCCAGATAATTTTACTAGAGTAGTACCAGACTGAAACTAGTATATACTGCTTCTCAGCGAGACTTCTCACCATACCTGGAGTACCTGACTGGCCAGGTCACTTTTGGTCCACTTGGAATCAAGGCAGAGCAAGCTCCTCACTGTCATATGAAGGGAAGAGTCATTCACACCTTGCTACAGTGACCACATGTTGCCCTAGAGAAAACTTGCCTATGTCTCGTTTTACCACCTTGTATAATAGTAACACCAGTGGAACTCCACAATAGGTGGTCAGTCCAGTCCCAAGCCATGAATTAACCACCCATGTTATGGTATTGTCTTGAGTACTTGTCTTGGAAAGGTTCATGGAGAGGCCTGGGCATGATGTAGCCCAGTACTGTAACTGAGCACACTGCAGAAAGGAATCAACTCTACCAGCAAAGACAAGAAGGCCACAGTAGGATGTGCACCTCTGGAGATCAAAAATCCAACTATCTCTTTAGAGTCATGAAAGAAGAGAATACTTAGCTTACTGTGGAAAAATATTAACATGTTTTTTAGTTTTCATTAAAGGTCCAACTCAGTGGGTTTATCTACTAGGGATCTGTGTAAACTGAATTTGGATAGACTTCTCGTCCTTTTTTATTCAAATATGCACAGATTGTAGAATATCTCTATTCAGTCTTTACTCTTTATGCTCAAATAAAGGTAATCACATAATGGCACACGCATGAATCCTTTTTCTAATGTTCACATCTGTCAGTCAGTGTAATGTTCTGTCTACTTATAAAGGTGTCTGTATCCTCGTATAAATAAGGCTCTGTACAAAAATGCTTTGTATTTATGTGTGTTGGCTTAATTTTTAACATATTGCTCTGTGTTAGTCTTTCTGTCTTTAAACCAGATTTTTGTCTTTTTATCTACTGTTCTGAGCTCACTGTCTGGTATTTAAAAATTGCCTAAAGAAAAGAATTCACATTCCATTGTGCTAATGTACACTGTGTTCAGGCAAAGCTTGAAAGGAGGACAGATGAAGTGTTTTTATCAATTGCACAAAAGTTGCTGTTAGTACTGTATGGTAACTATTTTTCAGTATTTGGTATAATTCGACTATATGTTTTAACATTGGTATGAAATATGCATTGTATTTTTTAAAAAGAAAATTTCCCATGTGAACAATGAACATTTTGTAATGTAAAAACATGTAAAATATGGTCACCTGATGTGAATGTCCTGCATGCTCATGGAGAACTGTAATAGTTAAGTTCTGATTGCAGAAATTCACTAGATGTCATAGAACGGGACTTCCAAAGAGTCATGTCAGAATAAAGGAACAGAAAAGAGAAGCATGTACTGTACTGCCATGTTGTCAAAAACAACAGTATTGATGTTTTCTGTCTCTATATTGCCCCATGAAATCCTCCCAGAGATAATCGTCTTAATTATATTGATCTCTCGGGAATGCTGATAAAGTTAGATAATGAACTGTGAGCTGAGCAGGGGCAGTTGTAAGCCTTGCATGGACTTTTTCCAAATTTGTAAAAATATTGAGAGAACAAAATACAGGTAGCATCATGCTCTCTCTCTAGTAATACCCTCTTTGCTGAGTTTTTTTCCACATCATTATCTGTACATTCCTCAGCATACACATACTTTGTTTTTTCATGAATGCTACAAAAGAATTCTTTACTGAATTCTTCTCTAAGTCATATTTTGTGTGAAAAGGAAATGTTAAAAAACCCTCAGAAGGATAAGAAATAGGGTTTTAGCTAAGTCTAAAGCTGGTTTAGTTCTGTGGATTACTGCAGTCCACAAGGCCTTTTTTTTTTTTTTTTTTGCTGGTGTGCTTGATCTATAGGCAGTTTATATCCCACCTCCAGGAATGCCTGCCTAAATCAGAATGTATGTGTTTTTTGTGCCTTTAATTTTTGGGTTGTTGTATTTTTTTGGGGTTGGTTTTGGTTTTTTAGTGTGGACATTTAATGCGTAATAAGGCACGCTGTCAAATCCTTCAGATTCTTTAAATGGTGGCCAGAAGAACCACTGTTACAGATGCACTCTGTTTGCATTGTAATTTAAGTTTACTGAAGTCTGATAGAGCTTTGGCCATGCTCCACAAAAGTTGACTGCTTGGATTACATTTAGCAGCAAATTAAATGAGACAACCTGATAGTATTTGTTTATAAAGTAATGCCAGTGAATCAACATAGGTAGACAATTGCACAGATACACGCAAAACTCACATCCATAGGATTGTAAATAAACAGATTTCACAGGAACCAGTCTAACTCTATTAACTGCCATGTTGTTTCTCCTTATTTACACCTGTGTGAGTGAAAGTTTAATGATTGTTATGTTTGTTTCAGATAAGAGAAGGTTGGAACATTCACATTTATCTAGTTTGAGTATATTGAACTGGACTCCTTTAATAAAGATCATTAAATACAGAAATATTCCAGTCTTTTTTTTCCTGTCCCCTCCTCTCCGAAAATACAGTGCTCGATGGTATTTGTGTGAGGCGATGTGAAAATACAAGTTTGGCTGATATCTCATGTACAGATTACAATTTCTTATTTTTATGTATGTAGTAATCATCATTAATTTGATGGCAAATATATAGCTGAGTAGAATAAACCATCTTGAGTAGCTGAAATAAAGAGTAAATGTAATGAAGCAGTGGTGTTATTTCTTAATCCGTTGTAAGAGAAATTTGATATGATACACAACCTTATGAAACACTTGCTTCTTTAATATATAATCTGACTTTCTGAACAGAGCTACCTTGCCAGAACTTCTACATTTTCCCTTACCCACACTGGAAGGAAGGAATTTTCATTTTTCTTTTATCCTCAGTGACTCTAGAGGCAAAAGTTCCTTGATCATCACTGATCCTAGTGCTGTACTTTATGAAAATTATATACAGTTCCAGAACGTGTGTTAGAAAATGACTTTAGGGAATCTATTAAACTTGCAAGCATGGCAGGTTCCCAAGTTTAATTTACGGTTTGCAGAAATATGGGATATTCATTGTTGCCCTTTTTCTGCTGTTAGAAAGTACATGTGTGGGGGTCTGAATTTATCATTTAGTCCATACAGAGGTAAGGTCAACAGTGGATAATCATGTAAAATATAAACCTCAAACTACTTTGATTTTGAAGCATGTCAAGATGGAGCAAATTAACATTACATGATCTTAGATGCTTCCTTTAAATGTGAATTCTAGACAGCAGAATTGATAACAAGGGCTTTCTCACCCTGCCTTTTTCCTTCTCTTTAGATCATGTTGTGTGTGTATGTATGTATGTGCATATGTGTATTTATGTAAGTTTATATGCCACTGTTCTCAACTATATTATTTCTGGCAGTACTGTGAGTGGGTGATTGGACAAAAAAAGAGCCTCTAATAGATTTCAATCCCATCTGCCTGCTGCTCTGTTTTGCACTCAGTCAAGTATTTTTTTAAGCTGATAATTGAAAACCTATCTTGTTCTTACAGAATGGCTTTGCTGTTGTAAGGCCCCCAGGCCATCATGCTGAAGAATCAACAGCCATGTAAGTACCAGGGAATATTGCCCATCTTGGAGCACTAAGGTTACTGGCAATCACCTGTGTTGTGCATGTCTCTGAAGAACTGTAATTGTTAGCAGATGACTGAAAAGGCTTTCCAGGTACTCCCAGAAGCAGATTTATGGCCTCAGAGATCATATAGCATTTTTTAAAATGCTCTGAACATTATTTATAGCTATTTTCCTGACTGATTTGCTTTCTTATTTCTGTTCTTCTCTATTCCACAGGGGGTTCTGCTTTTTTAATTCAATTGCAATTACTGCCAAATACTTGAGAGACAAGCTAAATATAGGCAAGATATTGATTGTAGATCTGGTATGTATTCTTGGCAAGCATCACACTTTCAATGCATCTAGATAAAATATAATGAATTTGTATTTATATGTCAGACTTTCCAGCTTTTAATTCCTACAAGTAATAAAGGTGTGCATTTCCTCTGATTTTGGGAACTCATTAAAGCCAGGATGGCAGTACTGAAGCTATAAACATGTATGTTTCACTTTAATGGTGTTAACTGCAATTTAATGAGAAGAAGGCACAGATCAGGGCAACTTTTATGGTCCTTAAATGAATTGATACTTCCACCATTAAAATAACCCTACAGAACCCAAGTTTACTTTTCCCTACAGAATACAAACTTTAAATAGTCAGATGTTCTTTAAAGGATGTTGTTACATTGATAACCAAATTAGCCACTTTGCCCAGCTAGCAATGATTTGACTTGTTGTGCAACTTCGATATTATTAAACAAATCAACAGGTCATTCCCTCTAGGAAGCTTTCAAGTTGTGTATGTCAGGTTTTGATGGTTCCCTGAAGGAAAGCTATGTGATTAAAAAACCACTTCATTGGATTAGTCTTGTATTTTAATAGAAGGCATTCTTACACAATACTTAATATGTTTAACAAATGGATTATTTAAATGCAGATGACATTTGGCATGTTGGCTGTATTATTTTCATGAATAATGAATTGGAGCTCTGCCTTGCACTTAAAGGATCAGCCCAATGCACAGCCCAAGGAAAGTTGAATGCTGATTTATGAGCACCATTTTTGTTTTCCTACAGTTCATGACGAGGTGTAATAGGGTGTCTGACAAAGCATAGACAGGAAATGAACCCTGGCATCAAAACCTAACCTGTTACATCTGCACTTAATTAATTTTTGCAGGTGATAAAAGATTTAAAGACAAAATATGTTAAAGGGTTTTTGAAGTGCAGGGCTTAATAGTCTAAATCTTGTTCATATCTGCACTCATAATTAAATCTTATTGTGGAGTCATGGCCTTACCATCTAGCACTTTTGTTCAGTTAAACATGCGTACTGGCTGTTGAAGAGAAGCAGAGAAAGGGGGAGTATGGGAGAAGGAATGGCAAGTGAAAAATTAGTGGTATATGTATATGGGTAGATTAAGTATTCTTAGAATGTTTTACAAATATTTCTCAGATTGGTCTCCTATAATTTAGAAACATAATTATAAACTAACAGAAACTAGTATTTTTGAAAAATTCACTTCTACTATATGTTGTGTTTGTTCGTTGACTTGAATCTTTCAGTTCATTGATGTAAGTGCTGGCCAAAAGTAGAATCTCTGTTTATTCTCATTTTTAATAGGAAAATCCTATTCAAAGTTTGCATTTTGTGGATTTTTTTAAGTCTTTTTGTCTGTGAGTATTAAATTTGCCTTGTCAGGAAAAGAAAACATTTCCCTTTGACATACTTAGGCAATAAGCACTTAGAAATTCAGCTTCAGCTTTTCAAAGCAAGGTTAGATGTGCAAATCATTACCTGTGCAAATGATTACCTGTGAAGCTGCCTATCCTTGCCCAGGAAAGTACATAGGGAATGCTCAGCCTCTCTCTAACTCTGTCCCATTGGCCAGAATAACTCAGCTGATGAAAAGGAAGAAATATATGGCTGATGCTGATTGCTTCGTTCCTGGAGCAGTTGCAGTCCAGTCCCCAGTCTGCTCTATGGTCAGAGTAATGATGTACAAAAATTCATATGGAAGATTTCTTATGCATGCAAACTATGGATAAATCACAGGACAAACTGAATGAATGAACAAGTTAATAGTGATGTCTTTATTCCCACCAACAGAGAACTTAGGGCATCTGAAGGAAAGAATGGAATTACAGATGTTAGACTTGAAATTAACCTTTAAGACTATATTTTGATAGTGACTAGCACAGCAGGATCCCTATGCAAGTTGGCAGTTATACATGTTACTACAATATAAATATTAAAAAGTAATATCCAATCCCACACACTAAAGTATACTCCAGTGACAAATGTTGTCTTCATAGTTGCAACATTTTCATATATAAATTCTTAACTTTTTAATTATCAATCTTCCCTTCATTTATTTCTACACTAAAACTCTGACATTTTTTTCCCTTACCCACCACTTGGATAAATCTCTGTTTTTGAACTGACTTACATACCCTGAATACATTTGATCTACTAAGGGCAGATTATGAACTCATTTCCCACATGCTAACATCCGCAGTCTTAAAGAACACATTCCTTTGTCTAACCAGAGAACTTATTGCTCTTCAAAACTGAGTAACCCTTAGTGGAATTAAGGTTTAGACAAGAAAGATAGCTTTGAGATTTGAATTAAAAAAAAAAATAAAAAGGAGAAAAAGGTGTCTCTATGCCACTTAAGTATTTTTTTCTTCCCATTTGGAAACTGTTATCTAAAGCCCCAAATATTCATGGAAAAGCAAAACTAAAATCACAAAATGAAGTCCTTTTGTGTTTTTAGTCATAATCCCTGCAGATCTGTATATGTGCCCAGCACAGCTGCTCATGTTGCAGTCCTCATTCCAAGATCATCCATACTTGTATGCATGTTAGCAGGATTTGAGTCTGTGTTGGGGTAAACCAATCACTTCTGTCACAGCTGAAGACTGAATGGATTTTGAAGGTTAGTCTGCATGCCAGAGTTTACTTCATGTGCCACTCAGAACCCTCTAACACTACGCTGGCTGCCTTCAAGTCTCCAACACCATCACACCAGTGTGTACTCCTTTGCACCTCTAATGTGTTATATTTACCCTTGGCATTAAGTCACAGTTGGGCTGTAACTCCATCCTCATGTTGTTTCAAGTACTTTCAACTGAGAAAAGAAACCATTATAATATTACCCTACAGAGGTCCCAGAGGAGGACCAAGTGAAGCACAATGCAGTACGACTCAATCAATGTAGAGAGTTCTGAGCAATGTGGGTAAAAGTCATGGGCTGCATCACCTGCAAGGAGGACAAGCAGTGATCAGTGCTTGCTGTGCTGTTGACAATGTACACCTTGAGGTACACCTTGAATCTTCCTGGGGTCTTTGCATTCTGAGGAAAATGTGACTGTCGTTCCTCTGTTACTAAATTTGATTTAGACCTCATAACATTTGTAAAGTAAATACACACTGGGTGACTGGGTGTTGCCGTTCAGAGTACTTTGTCTGTCCTCCTTCTTTATTCTCTAAATCAGAAATGTCAAAGGGATGGCTTAACAGAGGAGAATTAATAATATCTATAACTTTTCAGCCTCTTAGAAATGCCAGCGAAGAAACTTTTTTTTTCTTACTTTTCTTTTACTGAAAGGCAAGTGGATTCTCCATTTTTAATTGTAGAATTCTTATGTGCCTAACCACATAGTACAGCAGTAAAAAACAAACTAAAAAAAATGGAAAAGCCTGCATCATCAGCCTTTGTTACAGAGATATGCTGTCAGCATTTCTTTTTCAGTATTTTATGTAATGACAGAATTTTTTCACTGTTGTTATATAATGTTTGAAATATGGAGACTAGCCAAGGTCACTCCTCTATTGTGAAAGGCACCGTCCTATCTGCCAGATGATTTAATAGCTAATGAGATCATATTCCTATGTCTTCAACTGTTGCCGTCATGATTTTGCAAAAATGAAGTATGAAGTCCTTTCTGCATCTGGCATCTCTTTTGATGTGGATCTAACTGCTGAGGGACTGAACTGAACTGAATGTTTCAAGAAAGCCAATTTACTCAGCTGGTCGCAGAGCCTTTGACCTCAATAGTGGAACTTGGCAAATCAATGAATACTCTTATGTTTAGTGTTCTGTCAAGAATTGTGAAAAAGCTCTGTAAACCATAGATCCTTCTGCAAAATACTAGTTTGTAGTTTAAACATTAGTCTTTCTTCAGAGGCCAATGAGGCTAGTTAATTAAGCCTGAGGGGTTATGAACTGTTGGCAGTTAATAAGTCATAAAATTCTTCCATAAAACAGGATGCTAGATTCCATCACTGAGGCAAGGAGTACAAAGAGCCGGTGTATAAATATCTAATTGTACAAAAGGACTGGGATTTCTCAATGACTGCTCATCTGGAGTCTCCAGGGCACGCTCGCTATGGTTTCCTGATTTTTAGAAGCCAGTTTAAAAAATGAGTGCATTAAAGAGTAATTTGCCTGAAAGTTCAGGAAGTATGGGGTGGTGAAGGGAGGGGGAAAGGAAAAGACAAAAGGAGGGCAAGGGAGAGGGAGAGAAACTGAGAGAGAGAGAGGAGGGGGGTGTAAAAGAAAGCAGAACTGAGCTCTCTACACTGAGTTGGACATTATTACATTTGTCATCTGTTTTCTTTCTCCTTTAGGATGTTCACCATGGCAACGGTACACAGCAGGCTTTTTATGCTGACCCCAGCATCCTGTATGTTTCCCTCCATCGCTATGATGAAGGCAACTTCTTCCCTGGCAGTGGAGCCCCAAATGAGGTTAGGTTTATTTCTTTAGAGCCCCATTTTTATTTGTATCTTTCAGGTAATTGCTTTGCATGATTACCCCTAATTTTCTTGTCCTTCTCTGGTTCTTTAAATTACACCAGATTACCAAATTGTCCACTGGGAGCAGGGGACCAGTAGAGAACAAGTGCATAACCCAGAGCAGTCCTTGTCAAACAAGGCTAGGCTGATCTGACATGTTGTTTGATGTTTGTTTCTAAAGCACATTTGAGAATTTTTTTCCCTTTCTCTCTCTCTTTTCCTCCTCCTTTTTCCTCTTTTTTTCCACTCCTTTTAGCATTTTATTCCTCTTTTTCAGGTTGGAAGTGGCCCTGGTGAAGGGTATAACATAAATATCGCTTGGACAGGTGGCTTGGACCCCCCTATGGGTGATGTTGAGTATCTCGCAGCATTCAGGTTGGTACCTTTAAAAGTTTTGAAAACTAGTTGTAGAGCATAAGCACATAAGAGCTAATGTAATACTGAAAGTAAGGAGAATGACCTATGGTGAAATGAACTTAATTCTGGTATCCCAGTATATGAGAGTTTAGTAAATAATGTAAAAGGATAATTTAATTGTTGTGATCATCCATGCAGAATTAACAATAATTTCTAGTTACTAATTGGTCACTGTTTTTTTTCCTTAAAAAATGACTACCTATAACATTTGAATACAAGTATTTACACCAGGCAGAAGAAGATTGCTGTTCACATTCACATTGATTGCAGTTACATGCCAGTAGAGCAGATAGAAAGTAATGTGAAGTATGGCCCAAATCCAGTGTCTCTCATTCACTTAAAAGACTCATGATGCTCACAGATTTGAGCATTAGCTTTTTCTGTGAATTTTGGTAAAGTAATTATTTACCTAAAAGTAAATAATTGTGAAATATCACAGTAAGAATGATAGGAAATGTTGCATGCTCTATTTCTCTTCACTTTCAATAGCTAATTCTAATGAAATTTTATCCTTTCATAGGTGATGCATCATAATATTTAGTGTTATTTTCATGGGACCAGAGAAGAGAAAAGTAGTTTAAAACACAGTCTTTTAGAGTTTCAGTAGTCCTGTCTTACATACACCATTTCCTTTCATTGTAATGCAGTTTAATCGAAGGATTTAGTGAGCAACTTACCTTTCGAGACTGGGCAAATGCTACATATTTGTAAGGAGGTTTTCATTTAGTAGAAAATGGTATGCAGGAAAGACAATGAGACAACCAACATGTATCTCCAATCTCTTTTAAGATATTTAGTTTGAAGTAGTGCATTTATCAGAATATCCCACTTGTTGTGGAAAAGGTTCTAATTGTATTTCCATTTGCCTGTATTTAAGAAAGAGTCTAAACAAATAGTAAGTGGCAGGCTCCAAATTTCCTACACTTCAGTATTGCCTCAAGCTCTTTCCAGGATACATCTTATTCTTTGATGAGATTTTCATATAGGTTAAGGAACTGGATGGTTCAAATAACTGGTATTATTGTCTGATATTAATATATTTGGTATTTCCACCCCAACATTCTTGATTTGGATCCAAACTGTTCCACTAATGATAGAGGTAATGTGGCCATCTATTTATGCAGAGAATGGTGGTTGCAGCTTATTCAACAGAAGACTCACATAACTTGAACTGTAACCATAATTGGTACCACTGCTATCCTGATGGCAAATACATGGGCTTAATAATACATTTACAAATACGAACTTCACAGTTCTGTTTTAAGGCACACTAGTAAATAGTTTGGAGCAGCTAATATTGCTGCTGTGCCTATTACTCCAGAATTAGAGGGAATTTCAATCTCTATGCCTAAGCAAAGCAGCACTATTTCTGTGAAATAAGGAAAATAAAATTCATGTAAGCTACTACACACTGACTAACCATGTGCAGACATACACTTAATTGTAATTATTATATTTTTAAGTCACATAAATTCAAAATAAAGCTTAGGATTTCCCTTTAGTAAATTGCTGATGGTGAAAAATGTAATGCTGCTATTTGAAATGCATCCATTTAACTGTGTAATTAATTTTGTAATTAATGTGAAAATTACACATTGTGTTAAATAGCCAATTGCCTTTATTTTTTTTTTAAGAATTATAATATCCTTGCTTGATTACAATAGATACTGCTGTTTTCTTTTTCTCCAAACAAGTATCAGCAACAGGAAATGTTTCCTTACCTCTCAGCCCCTTTTGTGCCCTCTGTAGGGCTTATTGATATGGATTAGTATGACTGGTATGATGGTTTCGAGTGGGGATCAATGAAGCAAACAGCATGGAAATTTGAAGGGTGAATACAAAAATTTGTGAAGTACGTGGGATAGACCAGTAGCTATTTTCTATGCATCTAGTCTGAATGGTAGGTAAATTTACAACTCCTCGTAGACACCTTATCCGTGGACCAGAATCTATCCCTGCTATTATCCAAAGTGTCACACATAATGTAGCCTGAGTTCTCAGTTTGACCAGAACAGAATTGTGAGACAGTAGTCAGGCAAGAGAGACCCACAGTTTATCCTTTAGCCACAGATAGAAAGGAAGGTACAGTCTTGGAGAAAATGAACAGAAGAGTTGGTAAAATATCCCAGCAAGTCAGCTGTTGTTCTGGAATTTTGACCTGCAATCAGTTTTTAAGAAAATAAGTGGGTTTCATAGAAAGGAAAATATTGATTTTTTATTAAATTACTTTGTTTTATAGACAGACTTACAGACAAGATCTGAACTAAGGGGTGGAAAAAAGGTTGAACATCTTCAATTTTAAGAGAAAAATAAGGGACATCATACCTAGACTCCAGTACACAGAGAGGTTACTCAGTATTTAGTCCCTAATGAAGGCAGGAATGGGTGTTGGTGAAGGTCCTGTCCCTTGTAATCAAGGTGTAAGTTTGCAGATGAGTGCAACCTGTTTGGAGAGAAGCCAAGGCTTTCTGCTTATGGGCAGCCTCCAGAGCTTAATCCTTTGAGTTCTTAGGAACTGAGAAATTTGCATTAAAATAATCTGAAAATCCCTAGGGGGTGCACATAGCTTTCACCTTCTCACCAGCAGAGCCCTTATTTCATCCCAGAATTGCACCCAGCACATATTCGAAGTGTCACCAGCCTTGACACTAAGTAACTTGTTACTGCTTGATTGACTGTCAAATTTCACAGCAGAAATCCTTCTGAATGATAATGTCCACAGAAAAAAAGACCAAAGCTTTTTTTCTGTCTCTAGAGTTCAGCTCATAATCAGGTATTATACATGACAATGTGTTTGATATCAGGTATATTGTTCTTAGGCCAGAATATATTTGTAGAAGAGTGTAAGCATTTACACATCTACATATATATACATGCAGGTAGCGGAATATTAGTTATTTTCCACTGCATAAAATCACTAGATAAATCTATTTTCAGTAAATCCTTTTAGGACTGAATAATGTTGAGCATCACTCTTCCTTCAAACTGTTCGAGAAAGTATTTCTATTTATTCAGGAAAAAAACAACTTTCAGTTTAAAAAAATGAAGAAAATGTGAAGGCATAATACAGAGTAGTCACTTCAAAGGCATGCTGAGTGAGTGGCTGCACTGGGACTATCGTGGAGAATAGCAAAAATAATGATGCTGGTTTGTGTCTGCCATTTTGATTTCAGTGCTACATGAAGAGTTTATTGTATTTTTGAACTAACTCTATGGCAAAATCAAACGTAAATGGCTCTAGCCAATTTTAAGATGAAGACTGCTCATTCATTTATAAAAGAATATGTTTTAATTTCTCTTCCATTTGTACTAAGAAGATGAGTTTGCTCATGTTAACTACAAGGAGGTAGTAGAAAATGTAGGAGAGAGAAGTCTCTGCATAATGAAAAGTGCAGTAATCAAATCACTATACCATTTAATTGTGCCAGAAAAGTGTTGTTTGATGTTTACCATAGTTAAGCAATTGGTATAGCTACGGAAATCCTTGAAATAATGACATTTTTTTTAAGTGCAGGCCTCTCTTTTCTCCTAAGATAACAAAAAGGCACAGCTCTTTCACATTACTTTCAAGGCCTGGAGTATCCCTCTGGAGAGTTTGTTTCATCATTTACTTCCACCTATTCAAGTTAAATTTGCTTTAATCTCTTTGAAAGCAATAGGAGATGGTGGCTATTTTCTAAGAGGATGATTTTACACTCGAGTTTATGAGGATGTAATCCGCTCTCTTCTGCCAACAGTTATAGAAAAAATAAGAGCAATGGGTGACTAGTAATGTTCAAATAATTATTTTCATGAGCTCCACATTATACCAGATGTGCTCAGTAAAACAGGCAGCAGACAGAGGCTCAGGTCTGTTTTGTACATGCACATGTGTCTATGTGTGTACTTGGAGTTTACAGAGGGCAGGAGAGCTTTCCATAGAGTAGAATACAGAAGATACAGGAGGCAGTGGAAACAAATGTGAGTGTTGAGAAGAGTGAGGGAGAAGCAAGAGAGAGAAGGAAACTGAAGTGTGCCTTCCAACCACTTTGCACTGCTTTTGTTCAAAAAAATAGTTGTAAATTTGGCTTAACCAGCCAGTATGCTTTGGTTGCTTTGCACTACTCCAGAGTAACATAAAACATCCGCAGCATATCAATGAACATGGCCATGAGAACTTGCATAAAATGAAACATATATGTATGTATGATTCTTGGAATGATTAGAAACACTGTATGATAATATGATTTTTTAGCAGTCACGTGTTTGATTTTAATTTAAGAGGGTGACCAAATTAAAAAGAAATAGGTGCCATTAAGGCAGAGTTAAAGATTAACTATATCTACGATTTAATTTAAAACATAGCACAACATTTGTAATTACCTGCAAATATAATTTTAAACAAAGAAAGTTCAAGATTAAAATCATACTTGAAACCACGTGTTAAAATGTAAAAATGAAAGAAAATTAAGGTGTGCAGAAAATCTTCACCCTGTCTTGCAGTTCTCAGTGTTTGGTTTGGGAGAAAATAAATACATCTAAAACTGTTTGTATTCTAAGGTCTCAAAAATATTAACAAAAATATTAATTGTCATCTTGAGGCCATACAGGGCATAGTTAAGGTTATTTGAGAGACTTCATTGATGTATATCAACCCTTCTTTTTTCCTTAGTTTTGTATTTCTGGATCTGGTGACATTTAATTTTGACATTTCAAATTAAAAACTTTGTAAATGTACTTTTGTTGTTTTCAAATACATTGTCTTTGTTAACTCTGTTTCAGTATGGATACTAAATTTTCTTTACCATTTAAGTTACACTTTAATACCCTAAGAAGAACACTATATTTCTATATTTTTCTTATGCTTTTTCATTTAAGTTTGCATAGCTAGCCTATATTTTTATAAATTAAATTAATTTTCTTGTAAATTCTACTTTTATAACTTTTTGTTCAGTGAGGAATTGGAGATAACTTCAAGA